TCGAGCTAACATATTTATATGCCTGCTGGATCGTGCGTATGAGACACCATTAGCAAATATCAAAATGGAATGCCAAAGGTGGCCAGAAAGCATTTAATATTGGGGAGGTCTGGAACCCAGTATGTTGCCATGGTAACAAAACTGTTAAGCTCGTATGGTGGAGCACATTTAGTAGATTCTTACTGCAAAGAATCAAACATTTCTGATACAAATTGGCTGAGATATCTTTCTTCATTATATTTGATGGAAATTTGGTTGAGTGTATGACATCATCACTTGGCTAATTTCCATATTTTACAAACTTGAGTTTCTCTGGAACGAAGAGGTATTTGAAAATAGTAAACAGTGTTTTTCTTCTCGTACAGGCTACTTGTTTATGTTTTAAATGGCTTAGATAGGAAAGATGGGATTTTCATCATAGTACCACTTTAATGTCCGCATGCTAAAACAACAGGAATCAAACTCAAAAATGGCCACCTTGAGAACTATGCAGTTCATAAACAGATTTCTAGTTTTCAATATTCCTATGTTGATATCTCCACCTTTAAGGGGATTAACCGAACAATCCAGTGCATTGTTAAACAGGTGTGACTGCCTATCTATTGTGTGAAGGTGTTTAAGTCACACCTCTTTTCGAGAGACTAATATTTCTATCTTATCTCATATCTCCGGTTACAAGGGGATTTTCCACACAAGTCTGCTCATGATTACAGGGGTATGATTGCTTTTCTATTGTGTGAAAGTATAAATCACAACTCCAGGGGTTTCATTTTAAACATTTCAAGCAGGATGGCAACTGGTTTTCAAAGGCAGGCAAAACGTTTTTTAAACAAAAAAACTTTCCTCTAGATGAGGAAATGAAACCCCTGCAACTCTTTACGATCAACTAATATCTTGACGTGCAAGGGGATTTTCCTTCCAGGTCTGTCTGCGATAAAAGGGGTGTGGCTGTCGATCCTAATTCTACCCGACAGGCTGAATATTGAAACCATAATGAAAATGGCCTGGTAAAACACCCTGCAGTTTGTTAAAGGAACTGATGAATCCTTGACCAGAGTATACAATGTGTAATTTCCATTAACGAGTGTGAACCGTAAACAGTGTTATTCAGGCTAATCTTAGTGAAAGCCTCCACTCTGGTTAGGCTGAATATAACTCCGGTTAGCCTGAATATTGTTCAGGTTAGCCTGACTAGTGCTCCAGTTAGCCTGTTTATGGTAAGCTCTCAATGATGGAAGTGGTAACGCAATTCAGTTAAGAAGTCTGCAGTCTGCATTTTACCCCCAGTCCGCAGTCTTCAGTTTGCAGTCTGCAGTCTGCAGTCTGCGTTTTACACTGACTGGTTTTAGTTTAGTACCATCTGCCACACAGGAATCTCATCCATAGCAGCAATTTCACATAAATTATAACTGCACTTTCTCACTAGCTTGCTTACTAGAATTTCATGACACGAGTTTTGTGACTAGTCCTTCCAGATCTTTTTTAGGAATGGACTTCTGTTTCCTCAAGGGTAAATTATTTCGTTCTGCAAACCGATTCAGCCAACCTTTTGAAGCTTTGAAATTATCTTCATGTACATTGTTGTATCCCTTTATTTCGCGATAGATAATTTCTGCTTTTTTCTTAATGAGCTTGCACGACACTTGAAGCCCTTGACTATATCTACTGCTAATCCATTCGAGCAAATGTTCTTCGAGTTTTGTGCTCAGTGGTTTTCTGCCACCACCAGTCAATTTCTTTCTTTGTTTTCCATTAGAAGTTGCAACCAATGTTTCAATTTCACTCTTTTTAGACCTCCATTCACGTATCCTTTTTTCATCCACTCGGAACAGTCGTGATGCAGGTCGATTGCCATGTATTTCAGCATATTTAATGGCTTCGCTCTTGAGCTCAAGGCTGTATGTCTGAAGTTTTTTCCTCTTATGTGATGTACTGTCTTTATTCAAATCTTCCATTTCACTGGGGATGAAATCTTATGTTGTTGTTCATCTTACAGTACTTTTTTTCCAGGTAATCAAGATCAGTCACATTACCTGCAAATCAATTGTACAGTCAAAATAAACAAAGATAAGACTGCATAAGATTAAGCCCAAAGATCATGTATCCACAGCATAGTGAAACAAACTGAACTTTGCAGAGGCTTACAACAACAGAATAAGTTCAGGTCCAACGCTTGTCAGATATTAATTACAATTTGCCCAAAAATGTTGCCTAAAATATAAAATATTTCCAAACGAATTGAATAATTGGTTGTCTACCAGTGAGACGCACAGTGAATAATGCAATATTTAAGCAGTGGAGCACTTTTTCCGTGTTTACATAGCCTCATCTAAACATGAGGAGGGTTGGGAGAATTCGAGAGAGTTGTGCAAGCCTGAGACATAGTCGAGGGTTTGCCTAACTTTCAAGAATTCTCCCAGCCTACCCCCCCCTCCCCCTCCCAAGTGTTTAGATGAGGCTATTTTAACATAGAAAAAGTGCTCTCTTGCTTTTATAAAATAATTATATAAAATACGTTGCAACTGTGTTTACATACCCTCATCTTAACACACCCATCAACCAATGAGAGCGCACGTAGTATCTCAGTTATTTTATAAACGTTGTTGGTGTACTGTTGTTGACCAACTTGTAGTGGTATTCGTAATTTTCTTAAAAGAAAATAACAATCCTATAAAAATCTTAATTGCAAAGATCCTTCAAGATTGTTAAGGAAGTGTTAAGCTAAATCTTTCAAGAGCCTCAACGATCCTTGAGATTTTTTTTGCAAGAATCCCTGGGACCTTTGCAGGATAATGGAAAAATTGTGGTGCAGGATTAGGCATGAACCTTGAGGATCTCTGAGGATAAATTTTTGAATAAAGACCTACGAAGCTCCACCTGAAGATCTTTGAAGGACCTTGGGAAATTTCACCAGGGATACCCCAGGGATACCCCGGACAATGAACTGTAATATTTTTGGATTTTTAAGATCCATAGTAAAAGATTGTTTTTTACAAAAGGATAGATTAAAAAAAATCAAGAATCAGGAATCAGTGGGCATGATACATATCAATCATTTAAGCTTAATTTGGGGCTTCAAGGTTTTCGAGTAGAGCACAAGCAACTTGAAATACGCTGACGTATTGAGGCAACCAAAATAACAATGACATTTTTAACACAGAGTTGAAGTGATCCATCAGTTATTTATGTCGAGAGGTAGCTGATGGCTATGGAAAGACTTTCGACAGATAGGTAGTTTAAAAATAAGTGCTTACCTTGATGATGGGTTCATCGAGGTTCATAAATCAAAGATGGCCGACAATGAAAACACTTGTTTCCAGTCTTCTCTCTCATTGCATTGTGAAGCATTTGGAGAGCAATTGCTGGTTTTCAGTGTCACGCAATTCAAAATGGATCAAAATAAAAAACAAAACCGGTCAATAGATAAAGTCCAGAATCTGGGAAATGAAAGAAAGTAAATATGGAAAGACTCTCGCCAAAATTCTGGTCA